TTTTTTTTTTGCTGAGGAAGATTGGCCCTGAGCTAACATCTGTTTCCAATCCTTCTCTTTTTGCTGAGGAAAATTGGCCCTGAGCTAACAGCCATGCCAATCTTCCTTTATTTTGTATGTGAGCTGCCACCACAGCACGGCCGCTGATGAGTGGTGTAGGTCTGCGCCCAGGAACTAAACCTGGGCCACTGAAGTGGAGTGCGCCAAACTTAACCACTAGGCCACAGGCCCAGTCCCCTTATTTTTGGATTCTTCTTTTTCAGTCTCTACCTTCTGAAATTGATTTAACCTCTCCCAAAGCTACTAGGACTTTGGTGATGGTTTGTGGGTCACCAGGGAGAGGTTAGTAAGCATATCACATAGCAAATAATTTAAATTAGCATTTGAGGCCTCCTGTTGGGTCCTTTCAGCGATCTTGCCACTTTGCAGTGTCCCTGCAATCCTGGCCTCTGTCCACTGGCTGGCTCCTCTTTCTGTCTCTCGTGTCTTACCCTTTTCTTCTTGCACTGCCTTTACTCTTATCAACTCCTTACAGAATAGATCTGGAATCTGACCAGTCTAAGTCACCACCATCTCACACCTAAATTTTTGCAATAGCTTTGTAACTGCTCCCCTGGGCTATTCTGAACACAACCATCAGAACATAATCCTTTTAAAATGTAAAGTAGATCGCATCACTCCTCAGAACTCTTCAGTGATTTTCTATCTCACTCAATAAAACCCCAAGTCTTCACCAGATCTTTAAGCTCTGTAAGATAGTCACTCTGATTTCATGCTTACTGTTCTAACCCTAGAGGACTGGTTTCTGTTTTTCCTTAAACACATGGAGCACACTCCTACCTCAGAGCCTTTGCACATGACAACTCTGCCTGGAATGCTCTTTCCCCAGATGTCCCATTCCATTCAGGTCTCTAGTCTAATGTCATTTTTTCAGTTAGGACATTTCCTAACCTCCTTCCTTATCTTGTTTTTCATATGGCATTTATCATTATCTGATAGACTATATATTTTACTTGTTTGTTTATCCTCTTCTCTCTAGATCACTAGTTTGAAAACTGTAGTGTGCATCAGAATCAGGAAGAGTGCTGGTCAAAGCACGTATTGCTGTGCTTCACTCTCAGAGTTTCTGATTCAATAATCTGGGCTGAGACTTGACAATTTGCCTTCCTAACAAGTTCTCAGCAATACTGATGCTGCTGGTCCATGAATCACACTTTGAGAACCAATGCACTAGAACTACTCTGCCCAATACAGTGGCCACTCACCACATGTGGCTACTTGAATTGAGTTGAAATGAAACGAAAAGAAAATTCTGTTAGTTAGTTGGCTAGCTCAAGGTATTTCAATGGCTCAATAGCTGCGTGTGATGTGTGGCCACTGTACAGGACAACAGAGATATAGAAAATTTCCGTCATTGCAGAAAGCTCTGCTGGACAGCACTGCTCTAGAGCGTAAACTACATAAAGATGGATTTCTATTCTGTTCTTTTCCCTAGAGCTTTATCCTCATATTTCTATATCTCATCCACTTGGAGCTTATTTTAGTGTAAGAAATAAGGTGGATACATAACTTGTATTTTTCATCACATCGCTAGTCAGTTTTTCCAGTATCAGTTATTGAAAATTCAGTTCTCTCCCCAGAAATTTGAAATATCATTATCATATGCAGTATTAAATTCCCATCTGTATTTCTGTTCTGTCTGTTACAGAACTTTCTGGTCTGTTGCATTTATCTGTCTGGGAATAGGAATATTTTCAAGACAAAATTGGCTTCTGGAATTATTGAATAAAGAATTAAACCTGGAATTACAGAAGATGAGAATAAAGTCATAAAGAAGTTCTATGATTTTTAATTGCCTTTCAAAGAGGCGTTTTTATTAGAAAACATTTAGGCAGTGTTGAGTTCAAAGGTCATGATATAGCTCTAGTCAGCATGCAACCTTTTGCCATGAAATCTGGTATAGTGTACAAAGATTACAGATGACCAAGTCGACTGAGGGAATAAGACATTATTATAATATTCTTGGTCCATTATCCACTCCATTTATTAAATTAGAAAATTAATATAACAGATAGAAATACAATAATTCATTAAGGCATATCAGAAGGGTTAAATAAGTGTACATTCAGAGTGCTAAATTTTTCTTACCTTTTAAAAATGGAAAATAACGGGGCTGGCCTGGTGGCGCAAGTGGTCAAGTGTGCGTACTCTGATGTGGCGGCCCAGGGTTTGCCAGTGGTCAAGTGTGCATACTCTGATGTGGCGGCCCGGGGTTTGCCAGTTCAGATTCCAGGTGGGCACTGATGCACCGCTTGTCAGGCCATGCTGTGGTGGTGTCCCATATAAAGTGGAGGAAGATGGGCATGGATGTTAGCCCAGAGCCAGTCTTCCTCAGCAAAAAAAAAAAAAAAAAGAGGAGGATTGGCAGATGTTAGCTCAGGGCTGATCTTCCTCACAAAAAAATAAATAAATAAAAAAATAAAAATGGAAAATACCTTTTTCTTTAAATGTTTGTATGTTTGTACATAAGAGGATGAAAAATGGTGGCACAAAAATTGGGATTAACAAAAAGAAAACAAAACTTTACACTAATAATTATTTTTGTCTTATTAGCTTTTGTGTATTTCTGGCAGAGATTCTAAAGAACTGTATATTTAGGAAGTAAAAGATGTTTGAAGTATAAGCTTTAGTGTTTTTACATTTATTACTTGGCACATTTATATATAGAGAGAAAGAGAAATACAATCTGAACATATCACCATTTATTCATAGACAACAGTGGACAGCTCTCCATTCAGTTGGCAGTGAAAGTTCTCTCCTCTTCCAGCTTAACTGTATTTATAATTATATTGTATTTATGTAGACATTACCTAATCCTTCTTAACTTTATTTACTATCAGAAAAAGAAGGTAACACTTCCAAGTCTAGAATTGGTATGTAGCATCAAATTGCTCTTAGGGCATACTATGTTATTAAAAAAATAAACTTCAATAATACCATTAAGCTAGTCTCCCTCTGGGTGGAGTTTAATATGTACTATCCAAAGCCAAAATTTGGGCAATTATACACAAATTTATGTATGAGCATACCAGATAGCTCAAGAGAAGCACATAAAACTCCTAAATTTTATTGTGCAAGCATCTAATAAAGATGTAGGGAACACATTTTGAGGACTGAAACATATTTCAGAAAACTTCTTTTTTACTAAGGGACTTAGAGTATTTTATTTATTTATTTTTCTTGGTATATGTATAATGGGGTGCTCTTCTATGTGGGGGAAGAGAAGAGATGTGAGGGTACCATTATGAAACATACCTCTTGAGATTGGTATGTTTAGGCAATCTTGTGGCCTAAGATGGGCAACAGCCACAGAAGGTGAGGATGAGGTAGGGGGCTGAACACAGGGAATGGTTTGAGAGTATGTATAAAGTGTTGTTTGACCCCAAGACCACGCAGTGTCAGACAACTAACCCTTCCCCAGCAGGAGACTGCCTCTCTGGAAAAAATGAATCAGAGAGGCTACAGACCTGGGAACTCCACTTAGGAGAGTGAGGGTGAGATGCATGTGAAAAGATGTACTAAATTAAAAATAGCATACTGATTGGTGAGATTCCTAGCCTCATTTCCCTGTCAAGTTCCTGAAAGCCAGTAGCCAGGTGCGTATCTCTAGTCAAAAAAATCAGAGAATTGCTTTTTATTGACATTTGTATTTCCCAATGGAAAAAAATAGCTGGCCACCTGATTACTCTATAATGAAGCCCATCAACCTATACCTCAGTCCATGAAAATATGACGTCTACACAGTGTTTTAGCGCCTCAGTCTTAAATATGAACCAACAGCTTAAGATCACCAAACACTTGAGGAAAGCACATAATACAAAAGATTTCTTAGTGTGCTTTCCTTCAGGGCTGACAATTAAGCAATACTCAGAGACCATATTGTTCTGTTGTTGGTGTGAATGAAAACGTGAGTCTGTGTCAACAATTAGAGTCTATGGAGAGAGAAGCAGAAAGTTGGGAAGTGTCTCTGAATCTCAAGTTGGGCATGCAATTTCCTATAGAAATAGGCTCTGTCTTACCCTTAGTACTTAACACTTAATCACTATTTGAAATTATCTCATACATTTATTTGGTTACTTTTTTATTGTCTAGCACAAGAGCCCATAAATTATTTCTGTCAAGGACCTGGGAGTAAATATGTTAGGCTTTGTGGGCCATAGAGTCTCAGTCACAGCTACTCAAATCTGACATTGTAACACAAAAGCAGTTCCAGATATTATGTAAACAAATGAGCATGGTTGTGTTCCAATAAAACTTTATTTACAAAACCAGGCTATAGGCTCCTTTTGACCTGCAGGTGGTAGTTTGCCAACACTTGGTCTAGTCCGTCTAGTTGAGTCGTAGATCTACGAGGGCAAGTATGCCATAACACTTGTCCTGTGTCTTCAGTGCCTAGAAAATATTAACTATTGTTTGAATGAATTAAGAAATCTGTACTATACTCTTCTTTAGGATTTTGTGGGCTTCCTCATGTAAATACTCACTATGCTTTCTAAAGCCCAAAGGGCGATGGTGGTTCTTAATGCTTTTATTCTTACGAAAACTTTGGAATATAACAAATTCATAAGCTAAAGACTGCTAGTATTCAAAATAATATTATGAAGCAGCATCTGCTAAACTAAGTCGCTGCTCAGGAAAGGACTTCTTCTCCTAAAAATTATAATATGAAGACAATTTGGCAGATAAAATATAGGTAATTATTAAATCAACACTAGGATCCAAGCTCTCATGAGTACTACTCAGAACTTTTTAATTATTAAAATTTTGTCTGAAAAATATGTTGTAGTTAGATTTTTAAGCTGCTTTCACAAATACTATTTTATGGCCTTGTATCTACTGAAGACAAGAGATCCCTAAGAAAAATACTTGAAACAATAACTTTAACAGTTAATGAAATTGTTTTATGGACCTTTATGATCAGCATTACTTTTGTTTTACAGTAAACCTATGATGGACTTGTTGATATTCCTCTGTGCACAGTATCACTTAAATCCATCAAGTTACACAATTGATTTGCTGTCAGCTGAAAAGGACCCCATTAAATTTAAACCGAACACACCAATAGGAATGTTGGAGGTGGAGAAAGTAATTTTAAAGCCAAAAATTTTGGATAAGAAAAAACCTACACTTTTAATACCAGAGGTAAGAATTTCACTGTAGATTTTAATGTCTTGTGGCTAAAATACTAAGTTAATTTTTCAGTCATTATCTGCAGCTTGTTATAAATGAAGTAAAAATTGGCTTTCCTGGTTAAATTTGATGTGAACGTGGCTATCATGTTTTCCTAGGCCACTTTGTTTAGAATTCATCTGGTTATTGATCTTTGGATTAACTAGAATTTGGGAATACTTAAGATTTTGGATGCTCTAAAGTGATCTATATATGACCATATCAGAATCTGACAGTTATGAGTGATTTGTATTTTAAGCCACTCTTTTAAAAAGTAGTTTATATTTAAAGGAAGGTTTTAGAATCTTTTAATGAAAATTCACTTATTTATTAAGATAATTTTTTGGCTTCTCTGTACTTGGTAAGTGGTGGTTATAATTTATTAACTTCTAAATTATTGTTAATTTGAGCTACACAATGACTCAGTTTTCTTTAATATATGAATTTTAAGCAAAAAATTTTAATCACAATGATTGTAATAGCAATTCTTTATAAAATTGTTCTGTTTCTATAAGCAATAGGGGTAGAACTTTATGAGTTTCAAGAATACTCTTTCATTAGGAACATCAACCTTTTTTTAACTTCATAAAATATATCAAGTTATATATACTAAATATTATCTGTATATTAATAATCTATGTATTAAATTAATAGTCTATTTACATATGATGAGTACATATATTCTCACATTTTATTCATATTATGAAGCTTTTTATTAAAAAGTTAATTTTTTATAGTATTAAAACATTGTTTTCTATAAAATGTGAATATTAAATATTCGCATATTGGGCTGTTTTCTATGTAGATACATATGCTGTGTATCTAAATGGACATCATATTATTTATGCTTTAGCATGGGATTATACATGGTATTTTAGTTTAACAAATACACGTTAAGCTTTGAGGATCTGCAAACTGTAGATTTTATTTAGCTTGGTCACATGTTTCTAAGTTACGTTTATGTACAGGATTTAATTCAATTACACTAAAATGATGTTTAAAATCTTCTCAATAATTTTGAATTAGTATTGTTAGATATCTAAATAAGGAATATTTTAATATTCTTTAATGATATATGAAAATTAGCCAAAGTAGTAATAATAGTGACAACAATAGGTAGTCACAATAGTTAATGTTTATTTATTGATAACGTACTATGTGCCTGATACTGTGCTGTGCTCTTTATATGGATTATCTTATTTCCAGTATAGAGAAGCATAAAAATTTTATATTTTAACCAAGATACCCCTTTTTTCATTGAAACTACTCACAAACCAATAGAAAGATAAATATTCCTCAACTCAAGGGTAGACTAAAACATGTATAATTCTGTATTATTATGTATGTTTGCTAATTTTAAAGTAAATTTTAGGAAACAAAACAAAAATATCAATAGTACTAGATGAGGCTTTTGTGTTCCCTGTTGAAATTAAACCTACTTAATACTTTACTGTACAAGGGTAGTGAATTTAACCTAAATTATATAATAAGCAAAAAGTTTCCAAGAATCTGCTTTGGATTTAGGAAATAACATTAATCCAAAAGAGAATTTTACACCAAAACAGAAAAATACTGTTTATTGTGTGAATATATAATTGTAGATTATCTCATTATTCTAGACATCACTGTAGAAAGTTTGTTTCAGTAAATGAATTAGGGTATAACTATGGCTCTAATCTGTGTTTCAGAAAACTGTGAGAGTAGTGATCAATTTTAAGAAAACACAGAAGACGATAGTGCGAGTTAGCCCACATGCACCACTTCAAGATCTTGCCCCCATTATATGCAGCAAATGCGAGTTTGATCCGTTACATACACTGTTGTTGAAGGATTATCAATCTCAGGAGCCCCTCGATATGACAAAATCTCTTAATGACCTGGGACTAAGAGAATTATATGCCATGGATGTCAGCAGAGGTAAGACTTTTTGTTTTATTAATTGACAAGATGTGCATATATGTGTATGTATGTGTATTGTGTTTATGTATAGGTTTTCTCAAGTTCATAATGGCAAGTTAATGGATCCTATACCTAAAAGTCAATACATGCCATTGGGAATAAGAAGAGAAAACTAAATGTAATAAAATTTAACTTGATTTTTGTTATTTAAATTGGAATAAAAACTTGTCTTTCTTAGCTATCATCCACATTTTACACTTTTCCATCTACCCATGAATATTTTTTGGTGGAATTTAGCTTAATTATTTGTGGCTTTAAGATTTAAACAGAAAATAAAAATTTACATGTAAATTCTTTGTTCTTGTTAAATGTGAATTACCGTAGACTCACTATGGTTTTTTTCTGAGTCTTAATTATCATTCAGATTTGGAAGTTTCTTGACAATTTTTTTTCTGAGTTCAGCACCCAAAATCAACTGGAGTATAAAATGAGTCAGTCAAATTCCCAAATTTTCTAAATAGAAATAGCTTGCAGTATTAACCTACAGAAATAATGTATTAAAATTTGGAGATCTTAGATAATATTGATTTCTATGATGTCTAATAGATAAATGCAAGCTTATTTATTCAACACGAATTTGTTTTATTAGGAGAAATAAAAGTTTAGTGAAGGATGATTACTTACCTCCTCTGTGCATAGACAGCTTCAAACTTTATCCTAAAGTTGTGGCTTTATATGATCCATAGATGACTATTTCAACTCAATGATGTTTTATACTTGAACAAACATCATCTTTACAGTCAATTTACCCTCTTTTACCCCCTCCTTCTGTAGCCACTTCTGTTACTGCCTTCAATAAGTCATCTTTACAAGGTAAGACATATGAATCAGTAGAAACAAGTTATAACATGAAATCTCTATTTCTGTTGGGTAAATTGAAAATAAGCTTCTAATTTTACCTGTTTTCTTAACATTACTAAGGTGTACATTCTGTAAGAGATTTTAACCTAGAGGGCTCTTTGGTTTTTATTTCCTGAAAAATAATTTATATGGCCCCTCCTTGACTTCTCAATTTAATACCATAATTATGTTTCAGTAATTGTTTAAAAATTAACATCATTCTAAGAATGTGTGAAACATATTTTTAACTCTCAGACAAGAAAAAATGATTTTGCTAGGATCTTTATTGGATACAAGTGCTGACAGTTTGGTGGTATCATGGAAGGATCTCAGATTCTTTCCATTGAACAATTATTCAGAATAATCAAAGTATATCAAGGTATATCAAGAATAATCATAGGAAATTTTTGCAGCCATTAAATTGTGAATATTTTGTAATAAGATGGAAAATGCTAATGCTAAAATTAGCTATTAAAGCCTTTAAGTGTGTTTAATACAGTGTGTAAAAAAAAACTTTTACATGAATTGTCTGAAAGGAAATATATAAAAAATTTTAATAGTGGTTACCTTTGGGTAGAGGGCTATGAGTGACTTTTTTTGTTCTTCTTTTCTTTATATTACAGAATTTTACAGTGGGAATATATTGCTTTCATAGAGGAAAACTTTATTAAAAATTAGCCAATAATATTAAAGTCTGGAGTCTTTTCCTACCATTTAAAAAGGATAGGCTCAGACAACTGATTACTGTAATAATTACCACCCTATTAAAAAAAGTTTAATAAACTGTACATGTTATGTGTTATTGGAATCTTCTTTCTTCACCACTTCCAATTTTCCCATAGCGCAATGAGCCTCTCTGTTACAAGATTTAAGCCCATATAAGTAATAGTGTGTTTATTTATTATTGGTGGCTATCATGAGGACTAGTCTAATCAAAGGAGTTGGAAATTCTTATGGTCATAAAGTTTATACTGGCTAATAATCAGAAGACAGGCAGTTTAATTCTGAGACTATATTAGCTGTCAAGCTCATTTGGCAAGCTGATAGGGCAAATAGCTTTATCCGTCTAGATCTCACCTTCACTTCTATAGTAAAGAGATTGGAAAAAGTGGTCTCTGTGGCTCTTTCCAGTAACAGCATTCTGTTACTTGTACTGGCTTTTGCTCCTAACTTTGCCACTCTCTACATATATAACCCAAAGCAAATTCCATAATCTTGTTGATCTCATTTTGAAGGTGATGAATGCATTGATTTCTAATATCCCTTCTCGCCAAAAAAGTAAGTGTAGTTTATTCAGAATATTAAATGTTATGAACCTAACCTTAAGAGATTGGAATAGGAAAATTAAGAAAGCTCCTTTGACTGTGTCAGAATCTACAAAGTCAATCCAATTGCTGTAAATGCCCCTGCCTCCTAATTTTGTCTGATATTATCAGAAGGCTTAGAACTTTGCATGCATTACTTATAGCCTCTATTCTGGAAACAGGAAACTACAGTAGTTGAGTTGCTTTCTAAGTAAACTCAAGCCCTTGTTTGTCTTCGTGTTTAACTCCCACTTGCAGTGATCCCTGACATCGAGCTTTAAGTGAAGACTTAGGGTGAACTAGTGTGTAAGATGACTGGGTGCCTGGAAATTGCTTTACCAAAAATAACTATATGAAATACTCTGGTTATATTTATTGCACTGCACCACCATGTGAATTTTCCATCTACTATTCCAGCTAAACTTAATTGTATATCTGTATTCAATTAGTGGAGGATTCTGTTTTAACTTGGAACAGTAGCATTTCTACAAAAAAAAAAAAAAAGGAGAAAAGAAAAAGTCAAAGGTATTACAAATCATTTTTAAATGGATACTAGTTTCAGTTCTACCATTTAATGCCTCTATATTGGTGCAAGTTATTCAAACTCTCTGGTCACCTAGGTCCTCAGATATGTAATGGGGTGATACCACCTGCTTCCATTTATTTACATCCCCCAACTGAGAAAAAGGGCTCAAAATGATAACTTATGATACCTGCCTCACAGAATTGTTCTAATAAATAAATTAGGCATGTAAAAAAATCTTTAACCATAAGGTGCTGTCCATATGTTCATTATTATTAGTTAGCATTGTCAATAAACTCATTGTACAGAAAGCATACTGCTTACTCAAGATTTGAAGCTTCAGATTTATGAAGTTTTATTTTGTGAAATATAGTTCTCCTTTATTATGTTATTGAGGCATATTGCATTAATAATATTTATTGGTGTTAACTATCTTTGCTGTCCTGGAATAACCCCTACTTTGTCATAATTTAGTTTTTTAAACATTTCTTTTAACTAAAAAGACTACACATTTACCCGTAAGTGAGGGATAGTTGTTTAAGATTTAAATTTATTTAAGACTATACATTTACCCCTAAGTTCTGCTCTACCTCTATCCCACAAATTTTGATATACTGTGCTTTGTTTCCAATGTCACTGAAATTATATTGTGATTAACTTAAAACCCACATGTTTCTTTGTAGAGATGTTTTTTAAATTTACAGATCCCCACTCCTTGTCTCTCTAACTTTGTTTTTTTAATTTGCTATTTATTTGTTGAAGAAACCAGGTCATTTGTCTTATAGATTTTCCCACATTCACAATGTTGTTGGTTGCATCCTGTGGTGCCACTTAGTGTGTTTCTCTATCTTCTCTATTTCCTGTAAATTGATTGTTAAATCTAGAGACTTGATCACACTTCAGTGAGATATTTTTGGTAAGAATACTTCATAGGTGGCATTGTGTACTTCCATTAGCAGACATGTAATGACAGGTTATGTTTTTTGATGTTAGCCATCAATAATCATCACCTATATCTTAGTTAATTAAGAGTTGAAAAATGGTCATAATCTATTGCAAACATTCCTTTAATTATTTGTTGAGATATTTCTAAAAAAGCAAATTTCCCCACATCAGCTCTTTGTCTACCTAGGTAGAATTCATTCAGGAAAGGCAAGATAAAAGTGTGATTCTTTCCCTTCATCAGTTTTTTAAAACAATGAAGTGGTTCCCTACCAGTACACAAAGGTGAACAGTGAGGATGAGGTATTATTTTGGTATCACTATGAATGCAAGGAATTAAACATATGTGATATATTTCAATTTATTGAGCTATTCTTATGACGCCCAAATTGTCCTGACTTTTGCCACTGGAAACCATATCAGATTGGTTCCTGAGTCCTTTTAAAATGGCCCCAGTAGACTTTGCCTTTTCTATGATATGACTAGATATTCCAGGCTCATCTTATACATTCCTTGATATTGACAAAGAATCAACCATTATTGAGCAATCATGGTTCCTTTTAGTGGGAAATGGTGTTTAGAGACAATCTGGGCCAGCATAGCTCAGCACTACTGGATTTATCATTATTTATAGGCCCTTTCAGTTGACATTAGGGGAGACTTTTTGGAAATGAAATATTACATATGAAGCCTTGAGCTGGACATTTGCCATTCTGATTAAAGTGTGATTTCTTAATTTCAACATTATTGAAATTTGAGGCCAGATAATTCTTTTTTGTTGGGGGGCTGTCTTGTGCATTGTAGTATGTTTAGCAAAATCACTGGCCTCTACCCAGTGGATGCCAGCAACGTACTCTCCCCATACTGCGTCCAGTTGTGACCACCAAAATTGTCCCAGACATTTCAAATGTCCTCTGAGGGGTGAGGAGGTAAAATCACACCCAGCTGAGAACCACTGGATTAAAGAAATAACATTTATAAAACATTTAACAAAGTACTAAGTAATTATAATAACTCATGTTTTGGAGAATAAAATATTTCATGATAGTTTGGCTCTGAGACAAAATTATAATTCAAAATAAACAATGGGACAAACTATATGACAGCAACTTTGAATTGTTTAATTTGAAGTGTCTTTTTACTTCTGAAATGTTGGTAATTGTGTATAGAACACAGACTCTGAGTCACAAAGAAATGAGTTTATGTCCTAGCTCTGTCATTTCCTGATTGTTGGCCTCAAGTATGTATTTTAGTTTCCTATTCTGTGAAATAGAAACAATAATACTAAATTTACTTGTTGCTTCAAGAATTAAATAAGATATAAGGTGCCTCGCAGAGTGCATGGTTCATAGTAGACCATAATTAGTAGCTTTTATCATTAGAAAAGTTTTTCAAGGGAAAGTAAGTGAGGGAAAACTTGAAGGTGAACACAGAATTCTGTATACAAAATTAAGGTGCTTTTCTTCTATTTTAGAGTCCTGCCAAATATCACAAAACCTAGACATTATGAAGGAGAAAGAAAATAAAGGGTTTTTCAGCTTTTTTCAACGCAGTAAGAAAAAGCGGGAGCAAGTAAGTATTTTCTTATCAGATTTTTCTAATCTTTTTTAAATTGCATGTGCTTTTTATCCTGAAATTACATATAGATTTTGCCTTTTTATTCTTTATTAGACTGCAAGTGCCCCTGCAACTCCCCTAGTAAGTAAGCATCGCCCAACTTTTATGAGGTCCAATACCGTTTCCAAACCTTATATTTCAAACACCCTGCCATCGGATGCACCAAAGAAGAGGCGGGCTCCATTGCCTCCCATGTCGGGGTCTCAGAGTGTCCCCCAGGACCTTGCTCACATGCAGGAGAGGCCAGCTTCTTGCGTAGTGAAATCCATGAGTGTGGATGAAACAGATAAGGTGCGTAACTTGGTTTTGTTTTGTGTTTTTAGGATGGGGCTGGGAACCATCTATTTTTCCTCTTACCTAACTTGTCTTTTTGCACATAGACTACTAATAAGGTTAGTAACAATTACTAATATTACAATAAGATGAATAACTAGTTACTAATAAGATTGGTACTGAGAAGAGATTCTCTATATATGTATAGTTCTGCAATGTAGTAAAGAATAAACATGTCAATTTTAAGTAGCTTTCATATTCAAGCAAATAAATCATCCATAAACCATAAAGTCCTGCTTTATTAAGGTCCAACCAGAGGCTCTTGCTTGATGCATATATTAGAAATGAAAATACTTATTTTTGAACAATTTTTTTTTTTTTTAGCAGCGACAGTCTTTGTGTTGTGTTCATGTGTTTTTAAGTAGATATATCTTCCTGACCAGACTCTGAGATTCTCGGAGTGGGGGCGGGTGGGAAATCCTGGTGTCTGCGTCTGCCTGGTACATAGATACTCTACAGTAAAAAAAAAAAAAAAAAAAAAAGTTTTTTTTTATATAGAATATATTGCAGTTTCTCTTAGATGCTCTTATGTTTACAACACTGTCTAGGTGAACATTTTTCCCAAACTTTCTTATTATTGCTCCCCTTTAATCCCATATTTTCCTGGAGTATGCTGTTTTGTGGAAATCCATTTTGCAGACTACTCTTCATGCCTATAAAATCTGTACATTCCTTGCTTTATTCATGTGGACTATAAATGAAGTTTTAAGTAAATGCAATTGAGCATGAGACCGTGTATTTTGTTGCTTGTAATCAGACAAATGATTTAGGTAACTTTAAGAGCAAATTTTATTTAGAGATATTTGAGACACTGAGAAGTTTTCTTACATCTCATTGAAAGATTTTATTTCCCCCTTCTCCGTTGGAAACTTAGTAAATTCAATGCTCGAGTAAATCAACTCTTCCCAACCAACTAATAAACATTTCTGTGCTTCCTAAACTATCATATGCATCTTTAGAAAGTAAATAGTAACTCGAGTAGATAGAAATGAACCCCAAAAATGCTGAAACTCACTAGTTACTTGGAAAATTGTCTATTAAGCTGCCTTCTTATTTCTGTTAAGATTCTCTTGTCTAATGGTTGTGGTATAAAATCTCACCAAATCATGAGTATAGTTATTTTTTCAAATGATAGAATCATTTACTGACAAAGTTTTCCAGGGTGACTGCTTGGTAGCTGGGTGAAATGTCACAATCTTAAAATGTGTGGGATTGTGTTAGTCAGGCAAGGGGAACTCTGTTCAAAGATGCGAGAATGTGAAGAGTATGGCATTACCTGGGCCTGAGCAAGAAACAGAGATTGAAACTGAGGTAGATAAGCAGAGGCCAAATCAGGGTCTGTAACTCCTTTACATTTCATCATAGTAAGTCCTTTAAAAGGTAGCACTTTCAGAATTGTTTTATGTTTTTAATTACCATAAAACTATACTCTAAAAGCGTAAGTTATTCTACTCTTGAGAAGTTACCAAAGTCTGTCTTTTTCCTTATTCAGAAATAAATCTTAGCCACTGCTCACAAATTTTTTGTCCTCATCCAATCTATTCCAGTAAACTTCCTTTGTGCTTGGATCCCAAAGACGTCTACGTTGTCTTTCTAATAATCCGCCTCTTAAAATTCTGGGCTGCGCTACCCGTGACCTCACCGAAAGCTATTTCTTTTGATTCTCACCCACTGCTCTATGACCAGTTGATGCCCCCATGTTAAGTAATCTTTTTTTTAATATGTTGCCTTTGGCAAACTAGACATCTTTCTACAATTTTCTAATTATTTTTTTCTTTTGATCTGGACATCTGGATAGATCTTTGATGTATTGTTCAGTAGGACCCAGAATTATTTGTTTTTCCCTAGAGAAGCTGAGGAACTACTTTTTATTTATTCATTACAAAAATTCTTTAACAATTAAGCTGTGGTTCTGTTTGTGAGAGAAAGCGAGTGGGTGTGTGTGTGTGCGCGCACACACACATGGGCATGGTCATGTGAACTCAAGCCTTCCTTGGCATCTCAGCACTTATTTCCTTAACTTCTTGGCCATACTTGATTTGGTGAATCACCCCTTGGTCTTGATTTTTCTCTGTTTCTTGGCCTTGATTTGCTTTTTATATCTCAGCTCTCTTCTATTTTTTTCCTTGCTACCACTTCCTTTACTCATTTTCTAAATTTGGACGTACCTGAACCCATGGTCTTAGCCTATATTTACTGTACTGTTTCAGAAAAAATATCTTTTCTTCATCGAGTTCTCCACTGTAGTGGTTTTAATAGTGTCTCCCCAAAAGATATATCCAAGTCTTAACCCCCCATACCTTTGAATGTGACCTTATTTAGAAATAGTTTTTGCAGATGTAATCAAGTAAAGGATCTCGAGATGAGATCATCCTGGATTTAGGTTGGGCCCAAATCCAGTGACTGGTGTCCTGATCAGAAGAGGAGACACAGGCACAGAGACACAAAGGAGAAGGCCATGTGACAGTGGGGACAGAGCTTGGAGTTAGGCTGCCACAAGCCAAGGAATGCCAGGAGTCACCACAAGCTAGAGGAGGCAAGGAAGGATTCTCCCATACTGCTTTCAGAGGAATATGGCCCTGACAACACTTTGACTTGAGTTTTGGCTTCCAGAACCATGAAAGAATAAATTTCTGTTGTTTTAAGCCATCCAGTCATGGTAACTTGTTATGGCAGCCCTAGGAAACTAATACATCAACTTTGTACTTCCAATCCCAATATTTTCCAGTTACAGTTTGAATTCACCGTTGTTTAGTGACTCATCACTACCTGGAAATCAGCGTATTTAAAATCAAACTCATCTTTTTTCTCCCAGATTGAAAAGCGCAAGATCATCTTTGATGTTTTTTTCTTTTTCTTTTCACATCTAATTAGTGATCAATGCTTCATTCATTCTCCCTTCATAATGTCTCCTGGTCCCTTTCTTCCATTCTGTCTGCTGAAGTCATGCCTTAGAGAAATCCGGGGAAAAGAGTAAGGAGAAGACCAGTACTTAACTCGTCTCCCCACTTGTTGTCTTCAGAATACAAAGAATGTGGCAAGCCGCCATATTTATATTTTGTAGTTATCACTTCCCAGTTCAGAACCTTTGCATTTAAGGTCCTCTACAAACTGAGCACCATTTTTGGGGGGGGGAGAGGGTTCTACTTTCCTTCCTTCCCTCCTTCCTCAGCTTTATTGAGGTATAATTAACAAACAAAATTGTAAGATATTTAAAGTGTACATTGAGATGATTAGAAATACATATACATTGTGAAAGAATTCCCACCATCTAGTTAACTAACACATCCATCAGCTCACGTATTTATCTTTTTTTTTGTAGAGAACATTTAAGTTCTACCATCTTAGCAAATTTCAATTATACAATGCAGCGTTACCAACTGTAATCACCATGTTTTATATTAGATACTCAGACCTTATTCATCTTACAGCTGAAAATTTGTCCCTTTTTACCAACCTCTCCCTATTTTCCCCACCCCTTAGCCACTGCCAACCTTTTCTACTCTCTGTTTCTGTGAGTATGACTTTTTTACATTCCACGTATAAGTGATAACATGCAGTATTTTTGTCCTTCTCAGTCTGGTTTATTTCATTTAGTGTGACACCCTCAAGGTCCACCCATGTTGTCGCAAATGGCAGGATTTCCTTCTTTCTCATGACTGAATAATATTCCATTGTATATATATATGTACCACATCTTCTTTATCCATTCTTCCATACATGGACACTTAGGTTGTTTGCATATCTTGGCTATTGTGAACAATGATGCAATAAACAAGGGAGTGCAGGTATCTCTTCAATATCTAGTTTTCATTTCCTTTGGATACATACCCACAAGTGGGATTGCTGGATCATATGGTAGTTCTATTTTTAATTATTTGAGGAACCCCTATACTGTTTTCTATAGGGGCTGTACCAATTTACATTCCCACCAACAGTACACAGGGTTTTCTTTTCTCCACATCCTTGCCAGCACTTGTCTCTTATCTTCTTGATAGCCATTCTAACAGGTGTGAGGTGATATCTCATTGTGGTTTTGATTTGCACTTTCCTGATGATTAGTATTGTTGAACACCTTTTCATGTACCTCTTGGCACTTTGTATATCTTCTCTGGAAAAATGTATATTCAGTTCCTCTGCCCATTTTTTAATTGCCTTGGTTATTTTTTTGCTATTGAATTGTATGAGTTCTTTATATATTTTGCATATTAATCCCTTATCAGATATATGATTTGCAAATATTTTCTCCCTTTCCATAGGTTGTCTTTTCATTTTGTTGATGGTTTCCTTTGCTGTGCAGAAGCACAATTTTATTTTAAACTTTAATTCCTCATCATTTTCAGTATGCTTATAACTCTGACACAAGATTTTTTTTTTTTTTTTGGTGAGGAAGATCAGCCCTGAGCTAACATCCATACCAATCCTCCTCTTTTTGCTGAGGAAGACTGGCCCTGGGCTAACATCTGTGCCTATCTTCCTCCACTTTATATGGGACGCCACCACAGCATGGCCTGACAAGCGGTGCGTTGGTGCGCACCGGGGATCCAAACCCAGGCCGCCAGCAGCGGAGCACACGCTCTTAACCGCTACGCCACAGGGCCGGCCCCTTGACCCAAGATTTGACTTCTTGCTCATCAAGATCCTGTTTCCTATCCTTTCAGAGTAGGGTCACCCCCCAGTTCCATCATCTTCATTTCTACTCACCCATTCAAATTAAAATTGTTCTTTTACGTTCTTCACAGAGGATTAACTAAAGATTCCAGCCCAGAGTGATCTTACTTTCTCTGAATTTGTCTCTCATGTGCCTTTTTATTCTGTTTGTTTTAATTTATGCATATGTGTAGGTAGTATATTCATATGATATATATTTCTAAAGATAAAAAGGAGAATACAGTGAAATCCTCCCTACCCTGCCCCTAGCCAAATTCTTCTGCCTAGAGGCAACCACTACCAACGGT